ATTAGTTCATATTTCCTACCTGTGTTTCTAATTGGTTCTAGATCTTATCATTTTCAACATATCCTTTTAATATTTATTATTTATCTGTTATAAGTCCTTGCACTTTCTCAACTTCTAAATATATAAATCTTCTCCAAATATTTTGAATTGCCTTGAGATTCTCAATTAATTACTCCTTTTTCTTTTGGATTATTGAACATTTCATTTCAATTTAACCCCCATATTTAGAAGGATTAAATTATGAAATATTCTCCTATTAAAATTGTGTTTTCTATTTGGTTTCTAATTCTTATTGTAATTATGATGAAAATATGTGATTAGCCGAATGATGAATGATATGCCTATAATTATTCTTCTTGTATGATAGAAACTATATTATTCAATTTGATCATTTGATATAGATTATATTTCCATTTGGTTTTGACTCTATTTATTCTTCTATTGATCCTCTTATTTTAAATCAATCTTTTCATAATTTAATCTATATCTATATAATGATCTTAATATGATATTCAAATAATATGTTGGTTTTTAAATAATTAAATTTTAAATTTATTTATACGTATAATGCAGTATCTACTTTGTTATGATAATATTCCATCCATCAAAAATAGAAGAAAAATGCAAGGGAAATCAATTAAAAAAAAAATTAAATACCTTCTAAATATAAGAGAGATGTTCAATTGTACTACTTATTTTATTTTATACATAAATGTAATATATTCATCAGCAAATATCTAAATTATTTATAATAAAGAATGTATTGAGTAATATTCAGAGATAAGCTATGTCTTAAATTATCTCTATCAATTCTCAAAGGAACTATCAAAATAAGTTATTCCTCAAGCCATTTATCGTTCAAAAAATAGATTAGCAAAGAAAGCCTTTCAAAAGTTAATCAAATAGAAATCACCCTAATGATATTTATAAAAATACCCTAAAATTCCAGCACGATAGAATCTTAATGCTAAATTATCAATTTAAGCGAAAAAAGTAAAGCAGTTTAAAAGACAGAATAATAAACTAAAAGTAAAAATAAAGGAGCGAATTGTACCTTATGCTGGCAAAGTAATTACCTGTTAACAATTGCTATCTATTAGCATGCACACTAAATATTAGGAACAAAGTATGCATTTCCAACTGGGATTATATGGGCGTTTACCAAGCTAAAATAAAAAAAATATTTATAATACATTCATGCAAAATAATTCCTAAAGCAAAGAAATCTAAAGGAATTCCATGAGATTTTATCTACAAATAACTTCGGGAGCCATATAACCTTGAGTGCCACTTGTTTCATGTCTATTTTAAGGTTTCCAAATTTTAGCAATTCTAAAATCAGTCAAATGATAAATTTGGGATTATTCTTGTTTCTAATTAAAGGCCTAAGAATGATAACTTTTGAATTAAATAAGATTTCTACTTGGTATTGATTCAAAAATTCCTTTAAATGATTCTTTAGTTTGGTTTGAGAGAGATTTTTTTCGCTATTTTATAATTTCTCTTTCTTACTATGTCCATGGTCTTCTTAACAGTAAAGTTTTTTTTATCATCCTTTCCTTCTTAAGGACTCTTAAGTTTTT